CAAACGACGGTCAGCAATAACAAGCAATTGGCAAAGAGGCAGGCCGAGTCGAAGGGAGAGGAGATTAATCGACCCGGGGGATCAGGTCGAAGGAGGATAAACAGAAAGTGGAGAAAGGAAAAGAGAAAATGGATATCCAACCTGGGGAAGAAGTCGAGGAGATTCAAATGATCGAGGGGTGTGAAGGGAGAAAGTTCCAGATCGGAAAGGATCTGGAAGAGCCTATTCGGTCGAGGCTGATCCAGTTGGTCAGGGAATTCGCTGATGTTTTTGCCTATACAGCAGAGGAGTTAACGGGAATAAGTGCAGAGGGGATCGAGCACCGGCTAAACATCGACCTCAGCGTGAGGCCGGTGAAGCAGAAAAGAAGGCACCATGGGGCAGAGATGGACAAAATCATCGAGCAGGAGGTCGAGAAACTGTTGGGAGCGCGACACATTAAAGAGATTCAGTTCCCCGAATGGCTGTCGAACACGGTGATGGTGTCAAAGGCGGAGGGGAAATGGAGGATGTGCATTGATTTCCGCGATCTGAACAAAGCATGCCCGAAGGACTTATATCCACTACCCAAAATTGACCAGCTGGTCGACTCAACGGTAGGGTGCGAGTTGTTGAGCCTGATGGATGCCTCCCAGGGATACCATCAAATCCCCTTGGCGAGAGAGGACTGGAAGCGGGTGAGTTTCGTAACGAGTCGAGGGACCAATTGTTACGTGGTCATGCCGTTCGGCTTGAAAAATGCGGGCGCCACGTATCAAAGGTTGGTCGATAAAATCTTCAAAGAGCAACTGGGGAGGAACATGGAGGTGTACATGGATGATATGTTGGTGAAAAGTAAGGAGGAGTTGGATCACGTACGAGATTTGAAAGAAACGTTCCTAACATTACGAAGGTATGGGATGAAGCTGAATCCGGCTAAATGCTCTTTTGGGGTGAGATCCGGAAAATTCTTGGGTTACTTGGTGACCAAAAGAGGTATCGAAGTCAATCCGGAGAAGGTTCGAGCTGTGATGGAGATGAAGTCACCGACGAATGTTAAAGAAGTGCAGATCTTGGCTGGTCTAATAGCGGGGCTCAGTCGTTTCATATCAAAGGTGGCGGAGAAGAGCGGCCCATTATTTAAAACGTTGAAGAAGAGTGCGAAATTCAAGTGGACAGAGGAGGCACAGAAGGCATTTGAGGAGTTGCGAGGGGTGCTGGCCAACCTTCCATTGTTGGCTAAGCCCATACAAGGCGAAGAATTGGTGCTATACATTTCTATTGGAGAGAGGGCTGTGAGTTCGGTGTTGTTGGGAGAGGAAGGAATAGCGCAATTCCCTATCTATTATGTGAGTAGAGTGATGCAGGGGGCCGAGACAAGGTATTCGGAGATCGAGAAGTGTGCTTTAGCTGTGGTTGTAACTGCTCGAAAGTTAAGACCTTATTTCTTGAATCATAAGGTGAAGGTGCGAACGAATATGCCGCCGGGAGAAACACTTGGCCGGCCATCAGTCTCTGGTCGATTGGTGAAGTGGGCGGTTGAACTGAGTGAGTATTCTTTGACGTACGAGCCAAGGAGAGCCATAAAAGCACAGGTGTTAGTTGATTTTATCCAGGAGGGCACGAAAGTCGAGGAGGAGTCAGAGGGATTATGGCAGTTGTTTGTAGATGGATCTGTGGCCCGAAGCGGGGCAGGATTGGGAATTGTCCTTGTCTCCCCCAAAGGTGATTACTTGGAATTTGCGGCTAAACTGGGGTTCAAGATATCCAATAATGAAGCTGAGTACGAGGCAGTGATTAAGGGCTTGAGTCTAGCCAAAGCAGGAGGAGCTCGAAAATTGCAAGTGCATTCCGATTCTCAACTGGTGGTTGGGCAGTTTCAAAAAGGGTTTGAAGTCAAAGAGGATCGGATGCAGAAATATGTGGATGAGATGAAGAAATTGAGAGAGGAGTTTGACTCGTTCGAGCTAATACAAATTCCTCGAGGAGAGAATGGTCGAGCAGACCTATTGTCGAAGATTGCTCAGAGCTTGGTTGATTGCAAGAGTAGAAGTGTCACTCTGTTGCATCTTGAAAAGAGTGTGATCGAAGCAGAAGTGGCGGAGATCGAAGAGGTGGAGGATTGGAGGGCCCCGATCTTGGAGGAGCTGAGGGGAGGAGCGATAAAGATGGTTAGGAGGTTTTTTAGCATGGAGGCATTCTTTACAAGCGATCTTATGGAGGACCACATCTGCGCTGTGTTACTAAGGAAGAGGGTCGATATGTGTTGAGGGAGATGCACGAAGGGTGTTGCAGCGACCATAGTAAGTCGGGAGCCTTGGTTGCGAAAATTTTGAGGGCAGGATATTTTTGGCCAACGATGAGAGAAGATGCGAAGATGATGGTGAAGAAGTGCTTGCAATGCCAAAAGCACGGCCCCCTTATCCACCAACCGGCCGAAGCCATGACGACGATGAGTGCTCCTATATCATTCGCCCAGTGGGGTATCGACCTAGTGGGGCCGATGCCTCAGGGGACCGGGCAGAGGAAGTTCTTAATAGTGGCGGTCGATTATTTCACGAAATGGGTGGAGGCTGAGCCCTTGGCGAAGATTACAGAGGAGAAAGTAATTAAATTCATATACAATAACATTTGCTGCCGGTTTGGTGTACCCAAAGTGTTGATTTCTAATAACGGCACCCAGTTCAATGGGAAGCGGATTCGAGCATGGTGTGAAAATATAAAAACGAGCAACACTTTGCCTCTGTGGCGCATCCGCAAGCTAATGGCCAGGTCGAGATAACTAATCGAATTATACTGAATGGGCTGAAGACAAAATTGGAGAAGGCCTCGGGAGCATGGGTCGATGAGCTGAGCTCCGTACTTTGGGCGTATCGCACGACCCCAAGGTCGACTACAGGAGAAACCCCGTTCAGTTTAGCTTATGGAATAGAAGCATTGTTGCCGGTCGAGATCGAGTTATCTTCCCAGAGGTCGAGCACGTATGT